AAATTTTCATTTAAAAGTGCATTGCTTTCATTAATTATAAAGTTATTTGGTTGAAATATGAAAGTAACAACCACAAAAATTCTATCTTTTTCATCGATCATATTGTTGGTAACTTTATTATTTAGCAATATTATGCATCATATTTACGACCATGATAGTGGTAAGAATTTTTTTCATGCTAAAATTGTAGCTTCAGAATAATTCTTCATTTTGTCCACTCCCTCATTAAAAAGCAAACGACTTGTTCTGCATAAGTGAAACCTGTGATAATTATAGTGAAAATGTACTGAAATTAATGAATAAATCAGTTGATCCATGTGACAACTTTTTTCAATATGCATGCGGAACAATGATTCGGAATGTTTCTGATACTGGTTATATAAGGGATATGGTTATTAAAGTTCGTAAAGAGGTCGGATATGTCTTAGAAAAAGGATGGGATCAAGACAAAAACAAGGCAAATAGAAAATTTGTTAAATCTAAGTCGTTAGCTGCGGAATGGGCTATTCGAATCTATCAACAATGCTCACATATAGGAGATATATCAAACCCAATTGATATTTTGAAACCAATCAATAAACTATGGAACAGTCTACCTATTGCAACAAAATTATCATGGCCATTAGAATCGAATAAGAACTCCATAAATTTAAATTGGCTAGATTTTTATGCACACTATTCAAATGCTTTTGGTTATGAGCCAATATTCAGAGTTGGGTATAATTTGATGAATAACCTTTATATTCAGGTGTGTTTTTATTATTATATACATTAATATCAATTCACTGTTTTTCACATTTCATAACGAAAACGTCTTACTTTAACAGATTGATTTTTGCTTTATTGAGGCCGAAAAATTTGATTGTCAAGTTTTGTTAAAATTTATGATGCTAAACAAAACAAACGAAAAGAGTAAAGAATACGAAAAAATTTGCAATGAAGTGATCGATTTTATTGACAAGGTAGCTAATTTTGAGCAAAAAATTGGATCTGACAAAAATTTGTATGATCTGAAAACTATTGAATCTGATACTGGGTTGAATTGGGAAAGTTTTTTTCAAATAACACTTAACTATGGAAAATCATTTAGGAAAGAGAAAAACCCTTCGATTATCTATGATAATAAACTTATTATTGTTGAAGATGCCCTTCTTGATGCTCTCAAAGTCATTGAAAACACTCCCAAACATATTGTTTTTAATTATTTTTGGCTGAAAACAATGACATATTTTCTTAGCAATATAATGTCGATTCCAGTTTTCGGATTTTGTCCTGATAGTTTCTTTTCTGATCGATTCCCATTAAGCTTTGCAATTGCACGCTTATATGTCGATTATACAATGAAACCTGGCTCGAAATTGAAAGCTATTCATATGGTCAACCAGTTGAAACAATCGGCTATTGAATCGATAAAACAGAATACATTATTTGATGATGAAACACGCGAAAAAGCTATTGAAAAACTTCGGAGCATAATTGATTTTGTC